GGTTGTTTCTACCATAAGTCAGCACTTTTAAACAAATGATAAAGTCATTGCAAAGATTTTCCCTTCCACTTGCTCCAGAAAGAAAGACAAAAAAGTTACGTTCAAGTCCAGTGTGGCGAGGGCTGTAAATGTCTGTTAGACGAGCGTTTGTGCATCGCCGACAGACGCACACAAACACACGGAGACCTCGCTCCCTTTCATAAAGCTTTATTTCACAGATCCCCCGTAACAGGAGGCCGAGGCAGCCGGGCTCATTATTCATTTACATACACTGTGGCCAGTCCTTACCGATGCTCCCCGTGTTAAATAACTCAATAATTCAAGACAAAAACAGCAAAACACACACGCACACACACAATGCTCAACTTAAGGTAACAATAACAATATCATAGCGACGGTAATAATAACAACCATTGTCAAATATTATGTATTTCCAGGATTTTATACTGCATTTTCTAAAATTTGTTACACAGTCAGTCATCTTTAAGGTGCACCATAAAATCTGCATGTGACGTTTCGGTAAAACTTGACAAAAATGCTGCACCAGAACACGCGGTGAAGACAGAGAATACTTAAGCTTTTTATGGTTTTTTAAATGTTTCAGATGAGTTTGTTTTGTTTTCCCCAGCCAGTTCTGCTCCTCCTTGCTGTCCCGCCGCTGTGGATACCGTGGATGTGGATTCAGCGCAGGTGAACGCTGGTTGTTTTGTTTGGCACGCTGTTTTATAAGCCGCTGTGGTGTGGCATGAATCTCGTAGCTCAAGCAGAGACGAAAGGCGCGTCTTCGTGGATGTGTGGCGACTCACAGGACCTCTGCGGAGGAGGAAAAGAACAAAACCAGAAGCCTGAGTGTGAGTATCGTTCGTTTTATGTTTAATATCTTCGATGAAAATGAGACTCGTTCTTGAAGGGTGCCAGATTGATTTCGGATGTGGGACAAGTTTTCAAAGATTGAAAAATAGGTTTTAGGTCCTAAATCCTGGGATTCTGTTCTGCCATGATCGATCACTGGAGCTTAATCGTCAAATTAATGAATTTCTCTATCTCAATAAATCATGGTCAGTCCTCCAAATGATCTCTGCTTATTGAAATCTTCATTAGTGCCACTGAAGTCGCCTGAGACTGAGCTATTGCTGCAGCCTTGCACGCTCATCTCTGACTTGATCGTTCTTGGTGGAAACCTGGCTGAACAGAGGTGCTGAGATGACGTGCTCCAGCCTGCACTTATCCCAGCACCTCTGGCCCTGTGGCAGGTTTCAGCAGGACGATGCCGCCTAAAGGACCCTAACTAAGACACACCCACTCCACTCCACACTGCTTCAGGAAATCATTCCTCCTGTTCTCCATATAACTGTGCGACAGGTGAACTCACCCTTCACACACATTTCTGTGCAGCTGCTTCTTAGATTTATGTGTAAATATGATTTATTAATGTCATTTGAATGTTTCTCTTGCCCAACCTCAGTCTTCTTTTCTACTCTTCTTTAACTTAACCTCAATTTAATTTCCTCTGGCACATGCTGGCCCAACATGTTCATCAGAGGCGACTGTCATCCAGGAATTCCTCAAAAATAGATCCAGACACTTGTGCAGATGATGTGCATCGCGTTCAGAGAATTCTGTACCTCATATTAAACTCCTTCTATATTCTAATATTCTAATGTTCTTAAGCTAGCAGTGGTTTTATGTCTCACTTCTGCCACACTGGGTTTGGTCCTCGATTCTTATCCGAGGGTGGCGTGTTTTCTTGTAAAGTTTAGCTAATAATGGAGCTGCTGTTACCATGAGAAACATTCTTGTGCAGCTGATTTGTAAAAGTAAACCTACTCCTGCAACAATAACACAGTGTTGTTGGGCAGATACAGAATTGTAGCCTTGTTACATTAGCATGCTAATGTTTACCATATGTTTTAGAGTAGATGGGCAGGACTGATAAGCAGCCACCCTGTTGCTCACATTCCTGTTTGATGTTGTGTTTCTGTACCTGCGACATGCTGAGGCTTCATGGGGCCTGTTTTCATCAAGAAGGGCTCTCCTCCCTCGAACGCCATGATCGGCTCACTCACCAGCCCGCTCTGCTGCTGGCTGGGGTTACTGCTGCCGCCACTGTTGTTCAGTTGAATGATCTCCTCGAAGTCAGTGCCGTTGGCTGAGACGCCGTTTTGGTGCACGGAGGGCTGGACGCCGTTTACAACAACAGGGCTGGAAACGTTTTGTGCTGGGTTGAGCACCGATGCACTGGGGGCCTGCAGGTTTCCAGGAGCTGCAGAGAAATTCGTGGACAAGTAAAGGATATTAACAACCTTTTCAGATGTTTACATAATCAGTGTAACATTTTGGACACATCTACTTATTAAATGCAGCCTTTTCTTTAATATTCTTTAGTCTCTGTCATATGTAAACTGTTAAAATAGCCAAGATCTACCATAATCTCAAATAACAAGATTATTATATGTGCAGCTAATCGCTTTGAGACAAAACTTCATGCTTCCTTTTGCATTAAGAGGTCAAGTTTAGAGAGTTTTTTTCTACTTTTGGTTCTTTATGATTTCTTTGGGTCAGTAAAAGTAGTTTTCCCTAATGATCCAGTTCGGTTGGACATACTGGTGGACATACCGCCCACAAAACATTTCTGCTCATGCCTAAGGTGTCGCAGCTTAGACAAAAGTCCAGTCCTGGAACAGGAAGGGAAGAAGCTGATGCAGGAAACAGATACCGGAGGTTTTTATCAAAGTTTATATCTGCAGGAATCTCCTGCAGGGAAATCTGCCAATGTCTGTGCTTTGTGTCCGGTTACAACAAAGAGGAGGTACACGACAAGCCGAAACAACAGCACACCCTCCCGTGTCACAACAGAAGGAATAAACTGCCTTTTTATAAGGTCATCTCAGGTTTCACCACACTAACCTACTGTGGTGGCATGCACTAGCATTATATTAGCACTCCATTGTCTGGTGGAACCTCAAAGCCAAAGAAAGAATGCCCATTTATTATATACAGTATATTTCCTGGGTTAGTAATAGACCTTTGGGTTGGAAAAGCCCCAGGTGACAATCTCACAAAAGTGGATATAATCTTTGAAAAAGCCAAAGTAGAAACGTGTGAATGAGTATACGTGTTCTTTTGTGACTGATTTAAAGGTTGACGAGGGGTGACGGTTACCTTTACTCGGCTCTGCGTCCTTTCCGTTGACCTGAGGAGACGCTTTGACATCCTTCTGTGATTGCAAAGAGCAGAACAAGACTCGTGTTATTTCACAAAGGCGAGCAAGTGTTCAGTCTGGAGCCTGTTTCGAATGAATCACACCGACCTTATCTCCCGCATCGCTCTTCCGAGTCCTCTTCATGATCTCCTCGAGGCGCTGTGCAGATCAGACAGAGAGATCAGTGCTCTTGTTTTTCAGCTCGACTGTGAACTGTCTGTGACTTTCTGAACTCTCTACAGATGGTATTTTTCTCTCTTTGGCCTCACCTTCTTCCTCTCCAGGCGCTCCTGCTCTTCTTTCTGGAAGTGCTTCTCCCTCTCTATGCGCTGACGCTCGGCCTCCTCGCGGGCTTTTGCTTCAGCTTCCTCCCTCTGAAATAAAGAAGATACAAATATGAAGCAAGTTTAAACGTTTTTCACAGTAAAACTAAAGAAAAAGAAGAATAAGCGTCCCTCCTGCTCTAAATCTTACCAAGTAAAAGTTAAAGGTGACCGAGGGTTCAAAAGGGAATGGGATATTAGCCTAACACTGTCCACACAGCTGTACAACATATTATAGGTACTGTAAAGGTAGATTTAATAAGAAAACTTTAGTTTAAATGTACCTAATAAAGTAACATACAGGTAGAAATAAAAGAGAGGCTATATATGAAGCATATTTTCTTGTATTTACAAAACAATGCACTATGACTTTTTGATGTGACTACAGCTGGAATAAGCTGTGATAATACGGCTGCAGTTTGGGGAGGGCCTCGGAGAGGACTGGCAGTGCCTACTGGGCCGGTAAGATCCCCACTTTCTGAAGACAGCCATGAGAAAGGACATTTTCAAAGCCAAAGCAAAAGCCAGAGTACCCACACAAACTCCATAAAAACTCACGCCAGCCTGACTTCTTTTCACCATCTGACACTTGTCATGTGTGCTGCAATCAGCAATCATATGTTGAGTGAGATGGGGCTCCTTACGCCATTAAAAAACATGCAACTGAAACCAACTGACCACCAGGGGGCAGCACCTGCTCAGCGTGGTCTGCAGGTCTGCAGCCTTCAGGTCTGACCTCATATTATTTAACCCCCATTACATACTTGACTGGATATTTAAACACACATATGTTTAAAATGCAGCAGTGAAAACAACACAAGGTGTCGTGAGGTGCAGCCAGCTGTTTTTTAAATCTTGCCTGCATCTTCCCCAAGCCCTGAGCATTTTCAGAGCATTTAGCTGAACACTTGAGCGAAATGACCTCTAAAAAAATATGAGGCCACTCCACTGTGAAGCAAGCTCGCTGTCAGGGTGGAACAATGGCCTGATTGAGAGGAGCAGGGGAGTCGAGACGAGCTGAGTGCTTCAGGCATGGCGCGCACTGACGCTGCTTATCCAGAGCCGAGCGAACGAGACAGAGGCAGCACAGGCCCGTCGCTACCCTCCACCATCACAATGGCTCCCTCATCGCCATTATGGAGGTCACCAGCTGGAATGTGCCCACAGCACACAAGGGCCCTCTGACTGTTAGTGCTCATGAGTGACAGCAGCACATACTCATACTCTTTAATCTGCCCAGATGCCAGACAGTCACAGAGGCTGATGCTTGGGCTCACAGCAGCACAGTTTCCTGCACATTAATCTGCCCAGATGGTAAATGGGCTTACTGCATGTGGGGATCACTGGGATTCATGGTGGTTAATGGAAAATTAAAGTGGGGTTTCACAGCAAAGGGTATTTACAGTGGAGTTGATGATCTGTCAGGAACGGGTGTCTGATTCTCACTGGATTACCACAAACACGCCGAAGGGGTTAAAGGATAATTCTGGTTTATTTCAACGAAGTGTATTTCCCACTAATGTGGCCATTGTAGCTCTGTGGGTCACTCTGGATGTATACTATAAAAATGTTCTGATGTTTCAGAACATTATGGCCCAAGTCCATGGAAGCTCGTTTCAACCAGTGATCTCAAAATTTCAACTGACACAATAACTTGAAATTTTGAGTTATTACTTCAAAAATTTGGGACAAACACCCAAAACTTTTGGAAACAAGCTTCCATACATCCAGTAGACTTCCATACTTTCCCCTTTGACTTTTCTCAGTAATTATGCCTCTGAGCATTTAAAATTAGGGAGAGAAGAGCTCTCAATCAGACTGCACAGCACTGAGATTTTTTAATTTATTGCCTTATTGCTTTTCGATCAGCTTCTAAGTTTCTCTTTTTGCACTGTGATGCTTATTTCCTCATGAACACCCCACCTAACACTTTATTTTTTGCCCATCATGTTAAAGCTTTGTTCTGCACCTAACTCGCACATCCCTGCCTTCTCTCCTCATGTCCTCTGGCTTTTTCCTTTTTCATTAAGTCGCACCTTCTCATTTCCTTTGCCCTACTGCCTGTGACCTGAAAATCAATCTCAGAAAGGATGTCTTGAAATCCTTGAATGTATGTGGAGGACAGAGGGGAGAGGAGGCTTGCAGGAGGAGCCATAATCGAGGATGCACAAGTGGATCCTTTGCACCCTTCAAAGTATGAAGAAACAGCTCAATGCTGAAGGCAGACAAGAGACCTCAAGAGAAGTGGTCAACTTTGGCCCATGTGTGCATTTTATCATATTACGGTTATCATGGTGTGATGGAAGGCAACTCGAATCATTGTTCCCCTCCTGAAGCCTTTGTGTGGACTAAATGAAATGTACTGAAGCATATTTATACCAGAATCTATTAATTTTTTTACTGACTTAGCTTAAAGCCCGGGACTAAACCACCATTAAACCCAGCGTTCCTACCTCCTGGACTCATGTATGCACTGGTCTTATTCAAGTTGGAATGACATAATCTGCAGCATCTTAATAACTCCTGTCATCACCCACCTGTCTCTGCAGCCTCTCGTTCTCCTCCTGCTCGACCTTCGCTCTCTCCTGCGCCTCCTTCTCCTCCTGAGCTCTCCTGGCTTCGTCTCTCAGGCGCTGCTGCTCGGCCATGAAGCGAGCCTCCTCCTCCCTGCGCTTCCTCTCCTCTGCCTCCCGGGCCCTTGCCTCCTCCTGCAGGATCCTGAGGAGAAGGTTCTGCGTTACAAGCTGCATTCGCATCAGCGGTCTGTGGCGCCCTCTCCTAAATAATATCTTTTTTGAACGTGTGCCTGAGATGATGCATTTTATTATGTTGTAGGTTTGCTGACGCTTTAATGTTTTGTTTACTAGTGAGTGTTTATTTGGGTTTAGATCACAGCACAATGTTAAGTGTTTATCCAAAATCTGCCTTACAAACTCAGGAAAACATGGTCTGTCATGCATTGTGTTATCATATTTTATGAGGCACACAGTCTGTGTGGACAGCAGGTCTCACTTCTTCTTTTGCTCCTGCTCCAGACGCTCCTGCTCCTCTCTCTCCCGTTGCTCTCGGGCTTGTCTGCGTTTCTCTGCGAGGACGCGAGCGGCCTCCTCTGGGTCGTTAGTGCCTGCCGACGGCCTGCTGCTGGCCGGTGCGGCCGGGGTGGAGGCGGCAGCAGGTGCAGGAGAAGGAGCGGGATTGCTGACGGTGGTCGCCGCAGGTTCTACGCTCGGTACAGTTGGAGACGCTGCTGATACGACCGGCGGGCCGGGAGAAAGAGGAGTGGCCGGTGCGGAGGACACCACGATGGCAGGAACGTTACCCGGGGCTGATAGAGAGGCGAGAAAGAGACGTTTTAACAGTAAGGTCTGATTTAGCATTTAATCAATTTTAAAGCTTCCAGTGTTATAAAGGAAGCCACACAGCGCAGATCACAGCGACAGCGTGAAAAGACATTTTGTCAGACACCATGAGCGAGTACGTCAATCACGCCTCACCGCTTTCCTCCTCTTTAAACAAAAGAGCAGCTTCAACATGACGGCGTACTGACAGTCCTCTCCAGACATTTTCTAGATCTATGGTTGTTTCTGTGATTTACACACATCTTATTTGTCACCACAAAGCTGAATCACGTTCTATCACAAAGCTGAATTTAAAGATGGCTGCATGTTTCAGCTTCTGTTTTCTTTATCGTTTTCACTGAATAGATGCAATCGGGAATGAAGGAATTATAGATTTGCCTACAAATTGAGCATGACTTGGATGCTTCAATCAGAAATGCACATTAAAACTTCTTATTAACATCCTCCTGGATGCAGGCTTGAGCATTTGATTTCGACAGGACATCGGTGAACACTCTAGGGTGAGGATTGTGGTTTTATTTTTGCCCGCTGGAAAGCAAAAGTCCTAAAACGTCTGTTTGGTCCAGTTAACTAAAAATATTTGGGGTTTTTTTAAAACAAGTGGTGAATAGATCACCTGTTACATACTGTACGTCAAGAGGTTATAGAACCAGATATTACAGATATGAATTATTAGTTTTCTGCTGCACGTTTCACTGAAGAGTCACAAAACTGTCACTAAATTAATCGTCAAGTTCAGTTCCTGATGCATTCAGGTCACTGTAAGCTGAGCTTTCACACGCACACACACACACACACACACACACACACACACACACACTACTGCTTGGTGAATGTCAGCCAAAACCTCCAGGTCACCTTGAAGCCACAGACATCATCAGCGTGATACCCACACTCACTCTTTTTCTCCTCTGAAGTGTCGGGCTGCTGGGGTTCGTGGCCCGTTTCCACGGTGACAGCAGAAACCGCCTGGGGCTGCACTCTGGCAGGCGTCTGGGCCCGTTTCGGTCGGGTCTTGATGCCGGGAGGAGGAGGCGTTTTCTTGCCCGAGGCGGTCTTCGCGGCACCTGTTGCTGGCACCAGCGGGGACAGGGGGCGACTTTTGGGGGCGGCAGGTGACGGAGGTCTGTTTTTGGGCCTCAGGGTGCTGAGGAGCAGACAGGAGGTGAAATATGAGCAGAACGAGTACCAGAGATGAGAGAGAGGGGAGAAACGACATTTCAGATCAGTGCAGGAAAAGGTAAAAAGGTTCCCAGCGCTCTACATAAAAAAACAAAACTAGGTCATGTGGAAGTTGGGAGTGACTCGATGTGAAACTCCACATTCAGCTGTCATGAATCTCTGCAGAGAGCCGTCATTTCCTCCTGTGATCATTCAGGAGGAAAACCCGATTCTGTCTGAGAACTCCAAGTCTCACTCTAACAGACCTGCTGCTAGAGTCCAGCAGCGTCTCTTTTAAACGTTAGGTTACTCCACCTTCGACCATCTGCCACACATTAATCTGCTCCAAGGCTAAAGCAGTCTATCTCCCAGCTTCTCGCCTAAATTAACACAGAGTTAATTAACCGTTTGTTTAATAAACCACATCTGATGTAAAGCAGGTAATCTGCTGCGATACCTGGTCTCTGGCCTGGATCTCTGGATCGTGGTCGTAGGCGATGCCGTCTGTCTTTTCTTCTGCACTTTCTCTTTTGTGAGAGCGCTCTTCTCTTTTTCATTCTCTCGCTCTTTGTCCTTCTTCTCTTTCTTCTTTTTATCCACCTTGAAGGAAGAGATGAGACAAATAACCAGTTTTTACCTTATTATATAATCGTGTAATTTAAAGCCTGCTGGAGCTGGAAAATGAAACCCAGTTCATTATAGCTGCAGTCTTCTGAATGTTATTAGGTATAATACTTTTCATAAGGTTTGTGTGTGATTCATGCTGTGTGCTGTAGAAAGACTCAACAATAGACTCAGTCACCTTTTTCCAATTTGCTTTCCCCTGTTTGGGTTTGTTCGTTATTTGTTAAGTTGGATTTGTTATTCAAGGTTTTCTCTGCATGTAATTTTTGGCACCATCCAGTGATGTTTTTATAAAAGGAAGTTTTGTTATTTCTGGGCTTCATTTACCATCCATGTTCATCGAATTACCTCCTGGACAAAAAATGTCTCGTTAGCTGTTGTTTTTATGGCATTAACTGGAGCGTTAAAATTAATTTTACTCCACTGAAAACTAACTAAAACTTTTACTACTCTGTGTACTCTGTACAAGCTATTTTAGCTCCTCCCCCTTTAAGCCAACTGCCTTCTGACTGGCTGCCCCTCACAAGTAGAATGCTTAAGCAGATGGTGGGTGTGGCCTCTATGGCTGAGATGACCATAATAGGGCTGTCACTCCTGTCACTCATCATTCGAATCCTAGAGTGGAAAATTCTGTCTGAAGATGATGACTAGTGACCTCTGACCTGATCTGAAACTTTGGTCCATTATGACAGTTTTGTTACGATGAACAACACACAACAATTATTTATATGAAGTATTGATTAGAATATGATTAATCCTGATGCAGATTTCTGTTACCATAGCAGGACATCAGGGCTACTTAGTGAAAATGATAATATACTCAAAAACTGTTTAATCCTAATCACGCTCTCCTACCGGGGTGGAGTTTCGGCGGCGTTGGCGCTGGGTGATGTCCGGCGTGCTGGCCGAGGAGACCCTCCAGCGCTCTGCGGTGTTCTGGTGCGGGTGATGATGGGAGCAGGCGTTCAGCGGGCTGGCCGAGGCTGAACGGGAGCAGTGGTGAGAGTCTGAGTGACAAACAAACATGCAGAGAGCGGCAGCAGGGCCGAGGTCACACACACATACAAACACACACCATGCGGGGTGGTAAAAACCCCACGGTGAGGCCACACGGCGAACACGACATGCTGACCCTGCTGACCGACAAAGTGACGGAAGCCGAGCTGAAGGTGACGGATTGATCACACTCAAAACACAATCAAATTTTATTGCTTTCCATTGTAGCTTTATATTTAATTAAAGCATCTTTGCACTTTATAAGACAACACTAGCTCGAGCTACATTTCGCCTCATCAACACTGAATATGAGTTTTACTTAAAAATAGAACAAAATTCTGAAAAAGTAATAGAAATGCACAGATGATGGAGGCCATGTCTTAAAGCTCATGTCTTCCAGAAGGTTTTGAACAATGACACATGTTTGGTAGTTTTGCATCTGTACACCAAGTCAGTGGACTTTAAATCAACCAACCCAGATGTGAGCCAAGTGCAGACTTTCAGCTTTAATTAAAGACATTTAATAAAACTAACTGTCAAGCAATTACTGCCATTTTTATAAGTAGTCCTTCATTTCCAGAGGTTCAAAAGTACGTAGAAAAACTCACTTATGTTTAAATAGAAGGATCATATCCTGGTTGTTTGACTTCGGTGGTGTACAGAGGGGAAATTACAAACTGTCTCTGTCCAAAACCCTGTGGACCAAACTGTGTGACCAAAAGCTCCAGAAAGAAAACAATAAATGTCAGGTTCAGATCACAGAATATATCTTTTCTGTCACTGTGTCCGATTAGGTGAATGTTACATCATAAATTAATGTTGATCTCCAACCAATCGTAGCTTGGCTCTCATGTCATGTTACTGGGCAGAAAAAAAAGGGACAAACAAACTAAATAAACAATTATGCAACAAGTGACAGATACTGGCAGTCACATAAATATCGCAAGAGAGGCGAGTTTGCTTTTTACTTCACTTTGTTTAAGTACCTACTTACAAAACTATTACTATCTCTTATGTTAATGGGTTGGTTTTTAACGGGTCTTTTGTCCATGAAAAGGCTGCTTTTAGTATTTTTCTTTTGCCCCCCCAGAGCCTTCTTTACAGCATACCTCTCGTTCTCAATCTAACAAAATGGTAATTGGAATCTCACAGGAATTATCTAAAATATCTATAAAAAGTTGTTATGTTAACTTCTTTTTACTGAGAAGTATCAGAATAGAGCTCTCTAAAATAAATTTGTTCTATTTATTTTTTACTTTAATATCATGAACTACTGTATAGTAACATCTGTGGTGTTATGGGTCAATTTTAACCCATGTTTTCAATTCCATGCATAGCTCGTATTCATATCAAATCAGATTATGTAGTATTTGCCTGGATTGCTGGACATGTATCGCCATAAGGAGCATTTTCCTTGGGGCAAAATCTTCACCCACTGTCACCTCAGGCTCTGGGTTGACCTTCCGTGAAATGAGCTGCACACATCTTTCCCATACATCCCTGATGGGAGCAAGCTCATCAGATAGCGCTTTAGTATCTCTGTTGTAAAATCTGCTGATATTATTCAAAAGTCTGAAGTAACATTGTTGCCTGGAAAATAGTTCTGCCTGTCGATGTGTCCCAGAGACTGTCAGTGATCTTGTTGCTTGCTGTGTTCACTGCAGCACACTCCAAGCTATGGCAAGGATTAAAAACAATCTAACAGCTTTGTGTTTTGTTGGCACTGGTTGACATGAAGGGATTTACGACCTCATCATCGTTCATTTTTCTGTCTGTATCATTCAGATTGAGAAGTTTTTGCGATGATATTGTGTAGAACTCGGCATGAATGTACCACGAAGTAAACCAAAGCACAGTTTAGGACAAACATACCACATGCTCCACAAAGGATAAAAAAGAACAGGGGAAGATTAGGATCTTATTCCGTTTTGTTTGATTCACAGCAAACAAACTCTTTCCCTTTTATGAAAGGAATGAAAAAAATCACTACAGACAATAAGACGTGTGTTCACAGAATCAGAGGTTAAGCAGAGTAAGGGTAGAAAGGTATAGCAGGTGTCTTACACTCACGAGAGTCGCTGTTGTTGAGGAGGGTGGCGGCGCTGCGGCTGCGGGCCAGGAAGGACAGCGTCGGCGTCATGAGCCGCTCCACGATCCGGCTCTCCCACGGGCTGAGGCGCAGGCTGCGGGCTGACACAAGAGGGCGCTGTCAGTGTCGAGTTAGTGTTACAGCAGATACTCCTCTTACACACTAAAAAACCTCCCACTTTACACTTTCACGCACACTCACACACCCTCTCTACATCCGATGCAGAGTGGAGTTTTTATGCTGCATTCGTGTGCTGCTGAAAACCTCACGAAAACACACACATGAAGCCGGATGAGGAAATGTTACCTGGTTATGATGTAAACACCTGTAAATAAACACCTTCATCGTGTGTTTATTTAGCCAGACAAACCCTCAGACCGTCAATGTGTTTGTGTCTTCAGGGTTTGAATTCTCAGACAGGAATAAAATGCAGATTAGTCCACAGGATTTTACACGAGTTTCCACCTGCACCTGAATGCACGATCAGCTATGGAAACATTTCTGGGAAGCATCAACGCTCACTGGTTGATTCGAATATCAGCAGGTGGAACCAAGAAATTAAATATGATTAAAATTCAATTTTTATTTGATTTATAAATACTTTATTCCAAATCGCTTTGTACAATAAAATCAGTTCTTTTTGTTGGGGTTTGGTTCCCAGCATCCTGTGAGTCAAAAGCTCTGTATGATATCAAACAGGCATATTATTTACACGATCACCTGCACACACACCTATAAGCGAGTGCAGAAGCCCCACCCACCTGCTGTTCAAACCTTTGGTTTGCAACAGGCAGCCAATCAGAGAACGTTCTCCAAAGAGTAGATAATAATGGATAAACTGGAGGCCTAAGAATTAATATATGATTTAAAGGTAAAACTTCAACAGGAAGAAATAGAGCAACTGTAGGAACTATTTTCAACAGCGGATTAATACTCATTTGGTGTTCTGGAGGGAATAGTTTGTGGCAGCACTCTGACGGTAAAAAAAACTGCATGTCACGGAGATTTTGAGCAACAATGGAGCCCCATAAAGCAGTTTATTCATGGGATTTGTGAACAATAGGAAAAATAGGAAATCCCCAGACTCCTGAGCTCAGTGCTTCTTTAGCTCTGACCGCTGAGGTTTAACTCATCCAGTGAGTCTTACTGCTGCTGAGAAATGTTTGGTCAAACTCCAGCCTGCCTTTCAGACATGATGAGACTCAACACTGAAGAGAAGTCGTACAGGATGAACGCCTGAACATGTTGTGCACAAAGACATCAAATATTAAAAAAAACAAAACCCACACACACAGAGGAGTGTCCCCAGCTCATTTTTACGACTTACCACTCAAAAACAAAATCAGGTAAGACCCACTTTGGCCATTTACACGACCCCACACTAACTGCTAAGAGCCCTCAGAGTTTTCTGGGTTCTGTGCTGTTTGTCCTGCAAGCACAAACGCACTCCTCCGACCTGAACATGGCTCTGCGTGCTTCTTTAGCGAGTCTCATGTGATAAAGGGTCAGTGTGCAACAACAGGAGGATATAATCCAACAGATTGTAATAAAGGGTGGGAGAAAGAAAGAATAAATGGCACTCACAGGAGCGCACGTACACGTGGTTTGAGTCAAGGTTTGACGATAAAGATGTATACAGATAACTGGGTGTGCATTTTAATACATACAGAACAAAGTAAAACTGGGCGGTGTATGTATACGCTGAAACTAAAACAGCAAACATTGAATACAACATTTTTAATGATTTATAGATTATAGATAATGATGATTTACAATATTTAAAGCAGTAAACAGTGTGGCGTTAAAGCACCAATAACAACAATCGAATTATCTAATCAGTTACATAATGACAATTTCTACTATTAATGTTAACATTTTAACATTTAGCCCTCCTTGCTTCTTAGATGGTTTTCTTTCTAATCCATGCAGCATATTGTAAGAAAAACAATGTATTTTTAGTATTTATCTAAATGACTAACACATATTATTACACTGTACCAAAATGTAGATCTCTAGAACATTTATTTTTTCAGCATGCTGCTGCTAATTAAAGAGGTCTGAGAGGAAACTAGACTCTTGTCAGGGTCAGGTGAGAAATGTAAAGAAGCAGGACGAAGCATTAAGCTTGTGCTCGTTAGCCACGAGTGTGGTAAATGTATCTGTTTTTCCTGGAGCTAAGCTTTAAGTAGTTTTTCCACAATAAATAAAAGATGAATATACTCTGTATTTTCCCTGGCTTAAACTCAGCTGTTTTTCCAGAGAACTTTCTGTGAATAGTATTATTAAACTAAAAGAAACTGAAGTAAAACCACAGCCTTAAAAACATGATGCCACATTTAACAAATGACAGAAGAAAGCAGAACTCGTACTTTCACTTCTACCAGCTTGGTAATTCGATATTGTTATTGTCTCAATAACATCACGTACTGGTGTCAAACATGCAGACCGGGGGCCAAAAACAGCTCAGCAAACTGTATCATTTAAGTGTGAAAACTGGAGTAAACCCCTTAGTTACTGTTACTTTTCAATAATGGTAAAAAAAACATGGTAAGCCTTTTGTGGTGATGCCAACCCGAATACTCAACAGTGGAAATGTCTGAAAGGTTAAAAGTATTTTTAGATATAGATACGTTGTTTTTATGGTTCATTATTAAATGAGAAAAGCTGGGTGAAATACTTTCTGTTGTCAGTTGTTTAAATGTAAAAAGTGGTAACTTTAATTTAAGCTTTTTTGGCTACTGTTAAAAAACCTGGGAAAAAATTAAAGATTTAAGCAAACGCTTTTAGGTTCGGTCCACTCGAGATGAAATTAGGCTGCACATCACACCCAGGATCTAAAATGAGTTTGACAGTCTTGCTTTCACTGTTTGGTCCAAAACCCCACAGACAGACAGAGTCTCGCTGTGACGTCCGTCAATTTACGACAGCTGGTCGGGTTTTTGGCGACTTCCTGTCTGTTGTCCGGTAATTTTAACCAACAACATGCTTTTTATAGAAGCGTCCATGTGTGACGATGAAGTTCAGATTCTTTTCATTCCTCTGTTTTAACGACACACACCAGCCAGAGTGTGAGACACCTCACCTACAGACAAACACCACATGTACACGAGGGTCTGTGTGATCAGAGCTGCTACGACTCATTTAAGATGCCGCCACTCTTAAACCTCCACCGTAAAGGCATTCACCTCTGCTGCACCCAGGACAGATCCTTCTCACAGCATGTTTTATGACAAACTGATAACCCGACTACCTCCTGTTGCTAAGCAACAGTGTTTTCCCTCCTCCTCTTCCTTCTCCAATGCGGCAAAGGGAGGCTGAGCTGCCGCCTGCTGATCGACCGTTCACCTCGAGGTACCTGCATCTGTAAACGTCACCATCCCGCCACCCTCTGCAAACTGGCCCAGAGACAGCAGCTCTGCTATCGACCGTCCTTTCATGTGCCTGCAGTATCGGAGTGTCTGTATTAGTGATGATCAAGCACAAAATCTGAATCTGTATTGTGTTCGCAAGCGAGCCGATAACCGAGCTGGTGATTGCACCGTGGGTGATACGATCAATAATAACACGTCATGAGGCGTGACGAAATGAGATGAAGACAGTGTCGCTAATGTGTGTATGTGGGAACTCGGGAGATTGATAAAAGAAGTCTGATAGAGCAATTTAGACATACTATTGTACTGCTGACAAAAAGACAACTGCTCAGTTTGTTACAAGCTGAAAAATATCTTAAAGCGACTACTTCTATTTATTATTATGATTACATTTCTAATTGTCAGCATTTACCTGAAATTATTCAGTTCTTGTAAAATAACATTTCTTGTTATTATTAACTAACTCCTTAAATATTCGAAAGACAATTACAATTGGCCTGAAAATCCAGTTTTTAGAAGAATTTTTAGTGAAATATTTTTATATATTTGTTACATGGTATGCTAAAATCATCTTATAGTTTTCTACAACCTCAAACAAAAGCTTCAGATATTTGAAATATTATTTTAATGGAATGAATGTTGTGCATTTTCATCAAATTCTGGTAGCAATTTCAATTTACTAATTTGTGTCTATGATTATTTTTTGCTTTTAAAGAGTGAAAAAAGTTTGCATTTTGATGCTGGAGGGGTTGGCGGCGGCGTGAATGTGGCTTGTTTATAATAAAAAGTCTCTGAAATCTCAGCTGAGTACACATATAACGGATATAAGTCTGAGACAATATGCAAGAGCTTTATATAAATATAGCAAACCTAGATCTGTCAAGTGGTGTGTTACAACAACAATGTAATTAACAGCAATGACAGAAATACTTGAGTAGCTTTTTCATGTTACTGATGAGCTACAGTGAAACTGTCATACAAACTCAGGTTGATGGCTATGCTTCCAAGTACTCCATTTTATCATTTTCCTTCTGAAGCAAAACTTTGTGTTAAGTACTAATAAAAACATGCCAGCATGCTAACACAGTAAACTAAGGGAATTTTATAAATGCTAAAAGTCTGCGTGTTAGCATTGGGAGCATGTTAGCATGCTGATGTTGCTGTTTAGCTTGACTTATGTGCACAGTGCACACACACGGTGTAGAAATAATCGTGCTAACGCCTATTTAAGTTATACCAACAATTCAGGAAATTAGAAAATCCACTTCTAAGCATAAACACGATCTTGGAGAAAAAAAACTTTCAACTTGTTGTTGAACCTTACAGAGCTAGCTCGCACAGTTTCATGATGAGTTTCTTATTTTAACTGCAGAGGTTGTTGCATAATTTTATGCACTGTTTGAACAAGAGGAATGATGTAATATATACTTGAAAAGTATCTTTACATAAACCTAAAAGTAAGAAACTGAGAAAATGTCTTATACTACAGTCAAAAAACTGTATCTGATATCTGCGTGCTGGTGTTGTAGCTGCATCGTTATAATAACGTCTGTCCAGGATCAAAATTGTAAAAGATTAATCACATTGGTGATGTCATAGCTTTTCAATGTGGGGAAAAGGGAAAAATGCATTTGTCTATATAAAACTCTTCTAAAACAAACGTTCAGCTTGGTTTTAGTTCATTTTGGTCATTCAAAATTTTTGGCTAATGCTAAACTAAATGCTCAGACACCATCATTGGTCATGGCAATGTTGATCCTGGATGAACATTATTATGATGATAAAAGAATAACACCAACACAGGGATATCAGATTGTGCAGGGAAAATAATGGCCGGAGACTGTGGCATGACCAAAACTATTAACCCTGTGAGCTTGTTGCCTTTGAAACATTTGCTTTAGTCTTGCAGTCAGATGCCATCATCAAAGTGGCTTTTGGTGCGATAAAACAAATAAAACAGCGTCAGTCTGATATTAGTCTCCTACCAGCTTGTGATTGAATAGAGTCAAGCTAGCAGTTATGTGCAATCTGTTTGTAACAATTCAGTGATTATGAACAAATCTGTTGCCATTAGCTGCAAAGCTGTTGCTGTCAGCATACACAGAAATTCAAAGTATCTACTTATGGTGAGAGTCCAGCCATAACCTTACAGGCTTGAAACAGAAGTTCCTCTACAAATAGTTGTTGCTGCTGGATGGCGATTTAAATGACATGGGTGCACAGCAACCTTGCTTGTTTACACTCATATAATCAGAGTACAACCAGTTGAGTAACGCCCTCTATTGCAAAGAGATGCATCCCAGCTAATTAGCACTCATCAGCACAGATTGATTGCAATGTTTTGGCAATCTGTCTGTGTTTATTACTGTCAAACCCTTGAGATCAAAACTACTTGCAGATTCCCTGGACCACTACTGATGTTTCTTAGTCGCGATGAAGTTTCTGTCCTTTTTTACTCTAGTGTGACTGAGCCATTACATCGATAAACATGTAAAACCAAAGGAAACAATCCAATATTGTATAGTTTAAGGCAGCATAAAAATATATATTTGCATTTAGTTGCTAAACTTGATTCACTTGCAACAATCACACTATACCTTCCACCTATACCATCACCATCACCACCACCACCAGCACAGCCAACCACCAACAGTACAGTGGAGGGGACAACCAAAAAGGAGGTGACAAGATGTGAACTTATAAGCCTATGAAACACCAAAATATACCACAAAATATGGCTCAGTGATGTCAAGGTGAAAGGGAGGCTGATCAAAAATGCAGAGGAGACTCAAATCAATGACAAGCCACCAACTGAAATTAAAGAAAAAAGTTAAAAAAAAAAAAACACGATGCACACGAGACCGAGAGCGTGATTAAGAGGAGGGAGTAGGTGGTAAATGACCAGTCACCAAGCACAGGCAGGCAGGCAGGCCACCAGAGACGACAGTTATAATAAAACAAAACCAGATTAGGGTAAGAGGAGAAGGGGAAGGTGGAAAAGGAGGGGGATGAACTGGAAGGGAAAGGGAGAGGGAAGAGGAAGCCTGGTGGACACTGACGTCGGGTCGTCCTTACTTCTGTTGGGGGAGTTCCAGAGCGTGGCAGAGGACTTGGACAGCCTGTTGTTAATGACAGGGTCCACCTGTCTCGGCAAGTTGACCGTGGAGGCCGAGCATCTGCCTGCACCGGAGAGAACGCAACAGACAACAACTGTTCACAAGGCGGCCGGGGTGCAGGCGGCGGCCCCAGCTGAGGGCTGACAAGAGACGGGGCTGCTTTGGTTGGAACATGCAGCTGTGAACAGGGACTCACCGTTTTCTGAGATTAGACTCACTATCATCTAATCTGGAGTCAGATTTGGAGGGAAATGGGGAGGAAATTTGGGGGAAAGTGTGGGAGGGGGGGTGTAGTTAGAAGTCACATTTCAGAGTAAATACCTCGAGCTTTCTTCCTGCTACCAAAACTAAAATATCACTCACGTTTCCACACACAATCAGGGCCTTTCACACTTTGGAGGAGAGGTAACTGTGCTGACCTCAGCACCACCCCGTCACACAGCATTAACAGAAGTTTGAAAACGGGGAAATAAGTTCACAGCTCCCTGAAAAAACACACTTCACACTTCTGATCTAATGAAACGTGAGCGTGACGGCTACCTTCAAGCTCGTCCTTCTGAGTTTAAATGAACAACTGTGACGCTCAGGACTGATTTTTACCCAAACAACAGTGAGGAATTACGAGTGGTATAATCATAAATTACTGGGTAGGTCATCTGCCTCTGGTACCCCACCCTTGTGACAGCAAATCCTTCATGAGCTATTTCCTTGAGTTGCATCAGCTGAAGCAGTGAGTCACAAGTCTGTGCAGCACAAAGACTTGAGTTAACAGAGAGAAAATCATACATATGTGCTTGTATTACTATTATTATTATCATTATAATTATAGTTTAGGTTCATCTGAAACTCACTCTCTCTGCGGGAGGTCTGGTTTAGTCCGCCTGCCCAGGACCACCTCTGCTGGCGGATCTCGGCCCAAGTCTTCTTGGTCGATCTCTTGATAGCTGCCTCATATCTCTCCTACATGAAGAAACACACAGTCAGTGTTAAACTATGACATCTTTATAGTAAATATGCACCGGAAATGACAGCTTAACAGCTTAATTATTAGAATAGAATAGAATAGAATAGAATAGAATAGAATAGAATAGAATAGAATAGACCTTTATTATGCCACAGATGAGAAATTTGGGTTTTACACAGCTCTTATAGCAAGGGGAATATAAAATATAAAAGGAAGACACAAGGTGGTCCTATATACATAAGCAACCTAAGTTCGTATATACAGGTAACAATGTACAGAAATATTGTATGGAGACATGTATAAAATGCACAGTACTCTGTATAAAATGTGCAGTGAACAAACAAGCTGATGTGTTCGATAACCAAAAGGATGTTTAACTGTGTTATAGAGTCTGACAGCTGCTGGTAAGAATTAATAGGTAATTACTAGCCCAGCATAAGTACAACTTGAGAAAAGTGCAAAGGAAACTGGAAGTGGATAAGGTTCTCCTTCAAAGTAAAAGCTGTGCCTCAGCCCTGTGGCCAACATGTTTTAAACTTTTACTTTGAAGGCAAACGGTCTCCATTTCCAGTTTGTATCACACTTTTCAGTTTCCGAACAGCAAGTCCATGAGTTCAATTCAAGCTATGATTGCAGCAAAATGCTAACAACCAAGCTAATCACAATGTTTTTTGCCAGCAATTTTCCACTAGCAGCAGGCGGGTACAATGGGGTTACTGACTGGTCTGTATGTCTGTGAGGCTGGGGTCTTATTCACTTGATCCTCCTATATTGTCACCATGATTGTCACATGTCCAAAAGAGTGGACAAGTTAATGTCAGGTGGCTATTGGTCACTTGTCTGTATACTATACTAATGCTGCACAGTCTTTTAAAACATGTCCAAAGGTTAAAACTACGAGCTAATCACTGTTTCTTTCTACTCTTGGCCCGATGTGACGTCAGTTAGAGTAGATATCTTTAATATGATAATCTCTTGCACTTTGAGTGTGAGCCCAGAAGCCCCACCCACCTGATGTTAAAACCTTCCATTTGGCAGCAGCAGCCAATCAAAATAAACCTGGTTTAAAGGCAGGGGAAATATAGCTTAAACTGCTAGTTTTAGACAGTGGATGTAATTGGGAGCTACAACTAGGGCCAGTTTAAAGTAAATAAGGATCATTTTGAATTTTGAGTCACACAAAGCCACTCTGAAAGTAATAAGGAGCTTTAAATGAGTGTAGTAGGATCCCCTAACAGGGATTTTCAGGTAGAATGAAAGAGGCTAAATCACAGCAGCAGTGTGTAAACCTGTAAAAAGTGAATCTCTTCATTTATTTTAATCTATTCAAAATGACAGCATGCAAAAGCATGGTAAATGAGGTCACAAAAGTATAATGAGATGCAGCCAACGTATGCAAGGAAGACAGGAGGCTTAGATGTCACGTAGGGTTCCTTAGTGCACTTGCATAATTGCAATGTGAAGCCAAACCTAACTGGATCGAGTGTAAAAAGGCCCTGAAGCTCATTAGTTACATAATGGGAATATTTTTATGATGTCAGCAATTAATTTGTCCACGCAACACTTATGTGCAGCTTGTTTGCTGAATGCTTGGCATCCTCTCTGTGATGGCAACACGACTAGTTACTGCTGTATGATGCTGTTATCCAACAAAGCAGTTTTTCCACAGTCAGATAGTAAAATTTATCAATCTGAAGTCCCAGGGGAAATCACCGAATACTAAAAACTGTGTACAGCAGAGTGTTTTAGTTACATAAACACTCCCTTACCCTACTTAGCGCTCAATTTAAGCAGAGCAGAAACGTATTCTGTGACTGGACATAAATATTCTTTTTGAGTATTGGTTGCTTCTTCCAACAGCTGAGTGATAATCATCAAAATCAACCTATAAAATAACATGAAAGGGTTCAAATATGCAGTGTTTGTTACAGTCTATTTTTGGACGATTCAGATGTCAACTTTAAGAACCAAACAGATAAATGGGAAGCTTGACTTTTTCACCTTGTTCTTTTCTAGCTTCTGTCTCTGTTTCTCCTCCAGCAGCGCTCGACGTTTCTCCGCCTTCAGCCGCTGCTCTTCCAGCTTCCTCCTGCGGTCCTCCAGCTGATTCTCCCTCAGACGCCGGGCCTTCTCCTCCTTCTGCAGCCACTGAGCCTTCTTTGCAGCTGCAGGGTCACCACAGAAAGAAAGAGAATTATTTACAAAAAACAATATCAGTTTGAAACAGTTTATTTAGGTCTCACGTGTTAGCTGCTTCTGCAATGCTGTGAATTACTGCTATATAAACAAATGACTCCCTTTTCCTTATTTGGCACCTTAAAGGGGAGCTACTATGACCTTTTATGGCTTAATCTTTTTTACTCTTGGACTCAAGTAGTTCTGCATTAATTACAGTTTAAAAATAGTCAAAATGTATAATTTTTTGAGTCTTGGTTCAAACCCTCTGTTCATAATCTGTCTGAAACAAACTGCGCTAGCTCCTCGAGTTTTAAGCCAGCTTTCTTCTGATTGGCTGCCCCTCATAAGCTGACGTTTTGGACAGTATGTGGGTGGGGCTAAAGAAAAAGTGCTCTCACTGACATCAAACACAGCCAAGACTAGAAAAACTGTCTTAAGCTTGAGCTTTGGGCTCCTTCTACATATGCTGACCTCATTATTTGAATCTTCGGCCATGATTAATATGAGCATCCGACACTCCATCAGTATAACTTTATATGAGAGAAAATAAGGAAAAGCATAAGAAGTCCACTTTAAAAAGGTGCTTTGTGGGTTTACAGTGATTTTAACTCTTTCAGAACATTTATGGATAATGCATTTTACCATTGATTATCGTATGTTTGTTATTTGGTGGGTTAGAATGCTAATTTTTACTGCTTTGTGCTTAACATGAAATAGAGCTAAGACTGATTAATTCTGCAGGCGTCTGAAGCTGTGAGGGTGCCAGATAAAAAGCTTGATAAAGTTATTAAAGTTCATCCTGAGGAATAGCTCATCCTTCGGGAGCCACAGATTTCTGTATACAAACTCTGTGGAGATGTTTTACCAGTAACCTGAAAGATTTGTCTGCGTTTGGTGCAAGAGGGAGAAGAGGGGAATCACCACAATTATAAAAGGTATTCTCTGGGAGATAATATCATGGCAATCCATCCATCTGTTGTCATAATATTTCAGTCTGGACCAAAATCCCTGGAGCTGTGCCACATGCCTGGCTAAAGCATAAGCATTAGACGCCAGCGTATCATTAATATATTATTTCAAATGTTATTTTGGAAAAGAAAATGTAATTTATGCCTGTTATTGAAAGTCAGTTCTTTATTTGTAATAGCATATAATCAGCTAAAGATCTTTAAAGGCCTCTAACAGCAGCACCCAAACAAAACGGGTAAAACAGACGGAAGACACTGTGTTCATTACACTTTAATCCTGATAACAGTAAATAAGCTGAAGTTCCCTGCTGTCTTTTACAGCACCCTCCAGCATATGCCAGTTTTTCTGTGCACACACACACTGCTGTGGCTCATTTCTCCGGGTAACGATCAGACTGCAATCAATCGTTTCTCAATTTAAGAGCCTTCATCTTACGCAGCATTTACTCGTCTTCAATCAGCTTCCATATCATACTTTATATGAAAAGAATGAAAAAAAGATGGACGGGTAAGTATGGGTGAAGATGCGGGAGGGTTACAGGCTGGATCCAGCTGAAGGAACGGCATGAAATGTCTTTGTTTATGAGTTAACCAGCAACAGGAAAACTGCACTAAGCTATGCAAGGATGCAGCAATGGTCTGACACAAATACGTGTTTTATATTTAGTTCGGTTTTCTGCGGCTCATCTTCGCTAATGAGCCAACGACACGCACACGTCTGCACTTCATCAACAGCGAGAAAGACGTCTTCACTCCTCCTTAAATCCCATTCCTGAAAAAATCGAATTATCCATAACAGGACTGAAAAATATGTCAGGTTAACGCTTCGGAACTTGCTTTCACATGCTCATCTCTGCACGAAATATCTAGAGCACAGTTGCAGTTACATAACAAGCTGTCATATATAAGGCATCACCTGCATACTGCGTGCAACAAACTGCAGGCTCTACACTGAAGAAAGGCTTAACACTGCCACATAATTACGCGCAGACGGCTGAAAACGAAACTTAGCTCCGAGTATCTGAACCTGGCATATTCTCGATAAAAAGGCAGCGACGTTTAACTTTAACTGCTGCAGCATGACTACATAACTGATACTAATGGAAGCAGTAATTAAATCTAATCTGTCTGCGAGGCCTGGTCTCAGTTTATGGTAATGACTGCTCATTTTTTACGCCGACTGCCTTGGGCTCTATGGGATGTCTCTGCTGGGAAACGCCCACTAAGCTCTGCTCCGATTGGCCGCCTGCGCTTCGGAGACGTCCTCCGCTTCTCATGTGTTTGGACCGGCCTCTGTGTTTTTATAAGGAGAAGTTTCATTCTGCAGCCACAAAGTAAAACCCAAATTATAGGTGTGGAGCATGCACGCTGGGTGGGAATGCAAAACACAAAAGCCAAAATAGATTCAAACATGATAGGAGCAGATACATTTAAACCAAAAATGAGGCTGCAGACCGATCACGGAGTTCAAAAGTTTCCACCGAGTGGCGACAGATAACCAAAGCGATCGGTGATGGAGGGGAGAAGAACGGGCACGGCAGAAAGGAAAAGGATCCACATAATGATGCTGATTATTCCCACATGGCATGACTGCTGCGAAAGCTTTTAGTGAAGCCCCTTACCTTGCAGCTGAGTTTGCTGTTCTGAGCGCCATGCAGGAAGAAACAATAAGAGGCGTCAATAACCGTCAGTCACTTCAGAGCAGAGTGACAGATTCACAAAGAGGGATACAAAAGATAAAAGATGTCGACACATTAAGTTGGTTACAAGAAATCCCTGCTTCATGCATCCAGTAGCAGTGGTTTCTGGAGCTGACAGCTGAGTCCATCGTGTTTTATATCCGCTTTCTCATTTCTTACCGATGTATCTGGCTCTTTCCTCCCTCCGCTCCTTCGCAAGCTTCTGTCTTTGCTCCGAGCTCACTGAGTCTGTAAGGGAGAAAAGAATTACTTCACAAACACATGCATATTTTCACATCAAGTTGTATTTACTATTCATTTCATCTCATCTTCACTAAACTTATAAAACAATAAGCTAAAAGATTGCAGAGTTATTGATCATTTTCTGGTATGTGAGAAGTAGACTCAAGACTTAAGAGAGCAGGAAAACATTTTTGGTTTCCTACATACTAAAAATTGTAGTATTACTATGATTTTGTGTGTATAATACTACAGTATATATACATCAGATTCAGAGGCAGAGCTATAGTGAAAAAAGCTGATTACTGCTACGGAGTCTCAGCTTTGAAATGGCTAAAATCTGAATCCCAGAAAACATCATTTGGCCTGCTGTGTGAAGAAAGTCATGAGTTATTAACCCCAAGCAGACCCACACTAAATGGCACAATTCTTGTTTGTTTGTATGTTTTTAAAGGGATGCCAAATGCTGTCATTTTTCTGTAAAGCAAATTTACCTTGCCTTTGGGTATAAATAAAGTTACCTTGACCTTGACCTTGACCTTGCAACTCATGGACTTTGAGTATATGAGAAACCTGTTTTCTAAAAAGCCATCCTGAGAGTCGTAATGATGATTGTGATATAAAAAACGCAACTTATTTTTAAAACAACACCAAAAGAAACATTTACTTATTTTAATGCGCTTCCTCTTACTATGTTACAGATTTATGAGATAAAGAAATAGTTTGGATGTCACGCTTCCTCCACTCGATGTTCAGCACTGGAGTCCCTCAGGATTTTGTGCTCAGGCTACTCCTGTTCACGCAGTACACCCAAGACATGTAGAAAAATTAACCAATCAATTGATCAATTAATCAAGCAGTGGCCCAGTTTCAAATGATAGGAGCTGATACTGAGAGTGAATCAACAATCCTCTGGTGTGGAGAGCAGAGAACAACCTACGGTAAAGCTTAATTTAGACTTTCTGTCCAAACTTATGACAGAACTGGAAACCCCTCTTGACCTTACACCACAACTTTCCACGCTATTAAAGTCGTGCAGACCTGACATGTGGTTACATTTCTCAGGAGGTGCAGGTCAGGTTAAGTGGAAGGTTACAGTGTTACAGGGTTAAAAGGAAATAGCTTGATTGTTGTTGTGTCATACTTCTCCACTATGAAAATCTATGAAAATCTGAAATTTATTCTAGAAAGCATTCTAACCAGAAAAATAGAAAGTCAAACCAAAACAAGTCTCATCACTTATCTTGAAAAGCATTTAGGAAGCTTTTATGAAGCATTATCTCATTTAACTTTAATTTCATTGATCACTCAGACATAATCACTCCTGTTGAACTGCTGAACCAGTCAAATCTGACAGAAATTAGGTTTTAAAAATCTTATTTTTCCCTAAATGTTACACATTTTCTTCCAAGTTTGCTGTTTCAGAACAGATTTAAGCTCAGGATGCTTTGACTGCTGCAGCTCCTCTTTTTATAGCATCTCTATAAAAGAATATGCCCAGAATATCCCGGACACAGATCTACTGAGGGTCAGTGAAATAGATGAGATAAGGTTTCTGTACAGAGCCCAAAAACAATAACTGCCCCAGATACAGCGTCTTCAACCTGCTGCAGTATGCCAAGTGATCCATGACTATCCCCTGCAGTAACACCAGATTTAAGAGCAGTTTCTCTCAATCTTGTGCTGTATAATGATTTTTAGAATGAATTCTGAACAATGTTGGGAATATTTAACATCTAAAAAGGAGGTGATTCAGTTTCAAGGTCAACATTTAAACTCCCGTGTGTGATTTGCTGTTCAGACACGCTCATCTGAAGCAGTAATTAGCCTGAATCTTGATACACTTTGGTGTAACGTGAGGATTTGCGTAGCTCTCTCTGACTCTGAGAGGCCGTGACTGAAGAGCTGCTGAAAAAAAACGGGACTCCTGGGGTGCTCGCCGATCCCGTCTCCTTTTGTGGTTCATCTCTGTGCTATGCAATATGTATGCTACGTCTTCTAAACCAATCACAGAGGACCTAGCACCACTTCAGCCCATCTCCATGGCAACCCCCCCCCCCAACACCACCTTGCAAAGAGCATCCTACATAGCTGTATGCAGGCGTAATAAGAACAGAGAAGAGCGAATCTCCAGAGTGAGTCTGCAGGTCTCGTATCGCCGAGACGTCACTTAATGCATCGCCACCTCCACCCCATACTGTACTCCACATCCCCACAACAAATAACAACTCGGCTTTCATCCACGACCAGCTGTCCTGTGGGAATGGCTCACTAACAGAGTGAAACTTCCATTAGAATAGAAAGCATGTGAATGTCCACACATGAGAAAAACGGATAGCATGAATAGTCCACTCTCTGCAGTGAACGATGAACATGAAGAGCGCCGGTCTCGATCAGAAAACAAATGAACCCCACAGCCGACGCAGAGAGAAAATGCTGACTCCTGTTTTAACAACTAATAAAAGCCTCACAGTAGGCGAAGAAAAGGGTTCAGTTCTGCTAATGCTGAAGCTCTAACTCATTTTTATTTGTCATTTTAACACTATATTAAAGCAGTTCTGACCTCGCACTTAAATGGCACTGCCTGAAATTGGGGTTCGCCCAAATGCGGCCTGTTTTTCCACAGATCAATGACATTCACCTTGAAACTGTGTAAGGAGCATGTGCAAGTGTGCTTTGAGGGGTAAAGGTGGATCTGCAGAGGCTTCATAGCGAGTATAAACTGCACTAAATGGTCATAATGTCCTATTTGCTTGATGCTGTGTCCTGAAAGCCTGTGAGCTGAGTTTCTCCCACAAAGGGCTGGAGAAAAGAGCGTTAATCCCAGATCTTGGTTGTACTTTGTAAAGAAGCACAATAGTTCTCGCATTAACTGTTCAACGTGTGTGGGATGGGCTAAAAATACTCCAGCAACGATCTTCATGTGAATAACAGAAGGCGCAAAACCATCTGACTCTCAGTGGGCTGCAAAGCGAGACACATTATCTCGTCGTACATTACTCACCATGCGACATGAACAGGGTCAGATGTGTCAGGCAGGGTTGGCAGGTCCGCTGCATGGACAGACTGCATGAGACTTTCATTTTAAAGTCTAAATTGTAGATATTCATGCATCTCCAATAATATATGTCTCATATATTTAAAATGAAAGAATTTATTTACATCCAAGTCCTACAAAACTGACTCTACATGAACACATAGACACTCTGAAATGTCCTCTGCTGCTCTTTTGATATCGCCTCTAAGTACTGGGCTATTTTTGATTGCCCCTTAGCACACAATTGTGTGCACATGCACACAATTTCTTGAAAAGGCAAATATATTTTTCACAACTCAAATTAGCAGGAAGCTGTCTGCTTCAATGGTGGTTGCGGTACTTCAAATACTGCGTGGTTTTGCAGTAAACAAACAGAAGTCAACACTTCTTACTTTGTAATATTCTGACATATAGATTAACTGTGAGTGAGGGACCTGGTTAGAGCAGATTAAAGACCAGCTAACGTGCGATCTCAGTCCATTGGACATTTCTGTTCTCACCATCTTTCAGGTAAGTTCTTGAAAAATTAAGAGCCAAAGTGCACGTGGGACAACAGCTTTACAGACCTGGCAGCCTTTGATTTACGCCACAAGCAGCTAATGCAGCAGACTACAGAGGTCTCCCTTCTTTGTGCCTGTACAACACCAGCTTCAGAGGCAGACTTCATGCAGCTCCCTCAGGAGACACAAAACGCTTTAAACAACTTTTTTTCACATGAGCAGCAGCGCTCTCAGAAGACCCGAAAACCGCCTTTGATGTGTAAAATCACTGGAATTCCCCTTTATGTCTAAAACAAACAAGCAACGATACGTCCACAGAGGCAGGAGCTCAGGAGACTCTGACTTTAAGGAAGCTGAAGGACAAACTCTGCAGCCTCCCCATTTTCAGTGACAATTTTTCCTTAAATTTACGTTAACCACCTCTCATCATTTATGAAGTCACAGTTAATCAAGAGAAAAACTTTCATTCTGATCCAGCTTTGGAACAAATACAAAAAGGCTTTTGTTACCTTGTTTGTTGGACTCTGTCTAGAACTATTGTTTAGCTGTTTACACACCAAAAACAATTGTTTCTGTGGTTTTTGGTGTTTCACCTCAGTTGACTCCTTTGTAGGAAGTGGGTAGTCAGCAGTGGTGATCCCATCACCCCCACAGATATGCTTTTACCACTTCTTCTCTTCTTTTTAAAGATAATTCACAGTTTAAGTGTTATCCATGTACTGTGAAGGGAGAATTGCAGCCTGCTCTTCTATATTTGTTAGTTGTGAGGGCTCATACCACTCTGAAGTAACTTAAAGACATCGTCTGTACATCATTGGTTTTAGGCTAAAAAGCTTAAAACCAGCCACTGGAAACCACTGGACCCGCTCACAACAGGCTCATAAGTCGCTATCATCTCTTGTAATTATCTTCTTTGTCTAAAGAAGATAGTGTCTTTGTCTAAATAAAGACCAAGAACACAAGCACTAGAACAATAAACCATCATAACAGGTTTTCAAAACTATGCAAACTAGACAGGAACCATAAACTAAACTCGAGATACCAAAATAATAAAGAACATGACCCAAAACACAGGTCACAAAACAAACTCATTAGCAGAAAACCCAAAAGTAAGTAAAACTTAAAAAAAAACCCAGTAATACAAGAAATCAGACTCACTGTTATAATAATGAAGAGATTAAAATAAAAAGAGGCAAAACTTGCTAAATACTTCCTAAAGACTGCAGCTCAAATAGTCAAATAGCGCGAGTAATAGTAGCCAAGCTTACCAGGATGAAAATGAAATCAAAAGAAGAAACAAAACCTCAATCTAGATATAATCAAACCCCTACAAAAATCTTAAGAAGAACTCAAATACTCCAAAACCACTAAAATCACAGAGACTAAAACCAGGGCCTGTAACACTAGAAGGTCGTCTTGTATAAAATAAATTTTTCTGTACACAGTCCACAAAACCGCCACCTTGCTGTACATCATTCCCGTCTCTCTTTGACCTTTCCATTTACATCTTCAGTGTAGAGACATAAAAGTCCCCTCAGTTGCTAAACTGAGACTGACTCTCTGTCCTCGCTGCCACAAACAAGGCTCCAGACAGCTCAGTCTACCTTTCTTGGGCTGAGGGCTGCTGCTGCTTGAGCCAGGCGTGGATGGCCGAGCGTCTGTCTTGGAGGAGGCATCTGTCTTAACGGGGGTCTCTGTTTTGGAGCTGGAGTCTGTTTTGGGAGAAAGGTCTGAGACGGCTGAGTCCTCTGGAGTCAGGAGGTCTTTCCCCAAAGATTTGTCCCCATTCTGGATGGACTGGGAGTCTGTCTGCAGGGGCAGAGCTGCAACACACAAAGGAGAAAAACAACATCAAGTTGTGATGCTTATTAGCGTGTAATTATCCCAAAAACCTCTGCACATGATTCTCCTCATGCTGTCACTGCTGCTTTTTGTCAAATACGTGATATCCTGCTGTCATGTCAGTCATCATTACTGTGCAATCTCTGAGGTGAGACTTCCAGTAAAAGCTTTCCATCTAGCTCCTGAGAACCCGTGAAGCCCTCGACAGCTTCATTAACGCAACACTTCAGCTTCATTAGAAAAAATCCTGCATTTAGTCCCCGATGGCTTCAGTGCAAAAGAGGTAAAAAGTCTCCTGTCAACACTAATAAACACAGGAGCAGCAGGTGAGCCACAGCGTGGAGATTAGACCTTTTAAAGACACCACCACACACATTAATAATGAGGCTTGGAGGCTAAGACAGAGAGGAAAACATTAGAGATGGTTGTGTAAGTCTGCTTCAACTTGCTTCCCTAAAATAAAGAAAATGTTTGCACAGTTATAATCACGGGAGTAATTAATACTAAATCAGGCTGAATATCCCCACGGAGCCACAGAAAACGATGATCTCACTCCGGTTTGGGGCTCGGCAAGTTTCTCGACTTCATCTGAGACTCTAATACTTCTAACTATACACTTTCAGGGCTTACACAGAAACATGTTACTGTTCAAAGAGTTTGCGCGATAATTTAGGTGCATTTTATTTCCCTGCTTTTCACAACAGTAAGCAGTAAAAGTCCTTGGATTTACGTAGCAGTATCTCTTGCAAGGATACTTCACCATGCAGACCACCGACCTTCAGATGATCCGCTCTACCCCCGAACCACAGCTGCTCTGGGTTTTGTTTCACTGAAATTAAATGTTATTTGCATTTAGACTGGAAACCTAGGAAACCAGGTGGAAACACATCCTTTGTCACGGGACCGAGTGGTCTGTACTGAACTGAACTGAGCGCAGAAACCCAGAGAAACCCAGAGCAGAGACAGCAGATGGTTTAACAATATTTTATTAGGCTACGTTTCTAGGCTTAAGCGCTAGAAACATAGCAAGGACAAAAAACAATAAGACGTAGAGTCTGACGTGGCGTGGCCTGGGAAATGTGGCTAGGGCGAGGGAACGGGCCCTGAGATGCAGAGTGGAGCTGAGCAGGCAACGGTCACATTGCAGTAGGGGACACAGAGTGTTGAGAGGGGAGTGACGAGAATCCAGGGAGCTGAGTGGCGTGGCAAGGCTGACCTGAGATCCGGGTTCTTCAGATGGAGTGTGATTGCAGGAGGGCAGGCAGTTGAAGCACAGAGTGATTTTTAAAACGATTGCTTTTGTATCCTGAGTCCGGAGGTAGCGCGTGAGCCAAGATGAATCCAGCAAATAGGTTGATGACGAACTGGCGGTGAATGCGCATCAACATGTGGCTTAAATCCCCCTGGCTTGATTGACTGCCATTGGCTCCAGGTGTGTAGGAGCTGGAGGAGGTGGCCCTGCCCAGGGGCGGATCCCAGGTAGGTTCAGGAGCCTTATGGAAATTCCAGCCAACCACCGCAGACCATAACATCCTTGTCTCTCTACTAATAGGAAGGTTTGATCCCTGGCTGCATCATTCTACAACACACTGAAACCTGAGTTGCTCCTCATCAGAGTGTGACTGTAAGACTGAAAGCACTTAGACATAGAAAAACTGTTTGTATGAATGTGTGTGAATGTGTAAATAAGGCATGTTGTATATGTTGTATATCGAGCAGAGCAGAAAAGCGGTATAATAACCAGCCCATTTGCTATTTCTGCTGCTAGTATCAGAATTAGTAGTTTTTCTTTATTTTTTTAAATTTGTTATGTCAAATTAAGAAAAATGAAAAAAAAAAACATGTTTTGAAGAATTTTGAAATCTAAAAAATCTTTTTATCTTTGTCCCAGATTGAGCTCTGATGCATTTGTGAGCCATTAACTGCTCTGTCCTCTCCCTCTGTAGTTTTGTCCTGTTTGATGTTCGTCATCTCTCTAGGCTTTTCTTTTGTCTCTTCACCAGTCCGAGCTCATGGTTTCCCCTCCCCGCGCCTGGTTCTGCTGATCTCTTCCTGTAAGAACGGAGTTTTTCTTCCCCACTGTCACCAAGTGACTTCTTATAGCAGAGCACTAAATCTTTGGGTTTCAATCTTAATTGCAAGATCCATACCTGACAATGTAAAGTGTCACCTCGTTGGGAATGCAGATAACATGAAAAGGATTTAAAGTATCCTTCGGATGACTCTGTGTTGGACTGAGAGAGGTATTTTGTTTAGTTGTTTTCTCATCAATCCCATGTAGAAGCAGCACAAGATCCTCACAGACTGTTCAACACCAACATCTCTCAAACTCCACGTCACACTTTGTAGTGTAGCCTGTTAAATGTCTGCAAAGTCAGACGCCTCAGTGATTATACAGCTGTTTTCACTGGCTTTACAGGCTCTGCTGTACTCCCCGTTCCTCCCTCTCTGGATAGACACCTCCGTAAAATCAATAATTTAAACAAAACAAACAGAAATATTTCTAGTTACAACCCAACCAAACAGTGTTTTATGTTGTTTCTAAAAATGACTAATATTCTCAGTCGGGTCATGAAGATCAAAACCTCTTTGACCCATCATCCTGTTGAAATCCCTGCTCTGACTGTCCACACTGGGCGGCTTGCTGGTGCTGTCGCTGTGATCTGCTCAGTAGCTGCTTGTCCCTCCTTCCCTGTGTGTCACGCTGGAGGAATCGGTGACACTGTGCACAGAGCGGCAGTGACGCATGGCGGTGCAGGAAGAAGGTACATTTTGTGCTCTTCTACAAGGACATGTGGAGGTTGAGAAGAAAGATTTATAGAGAAAGGAGAGCTGGAGGACAATGGGAAACAGTGCAGTGGGCTGTTTTTGTCACAATGGAGGTGGACTTGAGGAGAAGAGGAATAATGAGACAGGAGCTGAGACAGAGTGAAGCAGGAAGATGAGAGGCTAGAGGCTTGAGGGCAGCTCTCCACTCAAGTCAGCCAACAATGGGCAGATGGAGCATGACGCTCTCATCAGGCCGGTCCAAACGCTCACCGAACCACATAAATCACAGATTAACACTGGGCTCGTCTCCAGCTATCCCCACAGTATTCAACAAGGCCTTAATGCACAGTACAGCACAGAATACTAATGGGGGAATAATGGGATGTGAATTAAGCCCCTTGTGTGTTTAGATAAGGAAGCAACTGTAAGAAAAAGGATGCAGGATCATGTTGAAACAGGGCAGCAATGCTACTACTCGATGTTGAAAAAAAGGATTAGGATTTGGCAAAAAGAGGATTGCAGTGCTCCTCCTTCCACGAGGAGATTATAAGTGTGGCTGACTTGAACTGAAAGAGTTTAACAGCCTTATATAGCTAAAAAAGAAGCCAGGATTCCTGGAATTTAAAATATTGATGGGAAAAACACTAAACTGCAGGTGCTAGGAGCTTCAAAAGATAGTCACCGGAGAAACTGCATATATATAACTGTATGCATTAACTGCACTGTAAGTCTAGGGTCATTCACAGTTTCTGCAGACAGCTGGGGACTCATTTCAGTAGATGCTTCTGCAAATATTACAACTGGAATATACGTCAAGCCCAGTAAGACACAACTTTTACTCTTGAGGTGAATGTTCTCTTCTTCTGCTTTGCATCACAGATTTTCAAGTTTTGCCAGAACTCAGGGAAGCAAATGGCAAGTTTTTGCAGAAGTCAGCATTTTCTACGCAAACTACAGACATCTCTTAGTCACCAAAGTAATCACAAGAAGACTTTTACCTCCGGCAACCACTCAAACACTCAGTACTGACAACCGGTCGGTGTGACTGAGGCCTAAGACACTTAAAGGTCTCAGGTAAAACAACCCTACTGCTTCCTCACTCTATGACTCCAAGTAAACACATTCCTGGTAAATCTATTGTTTCAACTGCTAGTCTTAAGTCTTATTCAATACAGTTAGATGTTACCTTTGTAAGCTACTGCTGTATCAGTGTGACCTCACATGGTTATTGGAGAGGATTGTAAAAAGGAGAATGGTTTACTTTCTGTTATAAGCTTTTCTTTATGATCAGAATTTATTCCATCTGTCCCAGTAACTTGTAAAGTTTAGGGAAGCTGAATGATTCTTTTATTTAGGCTCATTCATGTGTGCCAACAGGAAGTCACCATCTCTACTATGAAGCAAACTAACAAGGAGCAATGCTCTGTGGACCTATAACTGCAGAAGTGAGTTGGACGTGCAGGTAGGTCGTGAAAAACTGCTAATTCAAAATCGCTTTTCATCAATAAATCCATAAAAATCAATGAACACCTCCTGACTGAAGAAGAAGCGCTGACTCAAAGAAAAAGGCAAAAGAGAGCGCCAGTGTGAAAGGATGTGTGAAAAACAGCACAGAGCTACAAAGATATGACGCATGAAACATGGAGGCGTCTGCAGGGGCCACTTGCAAAGTTGGGCTGACTAAATGTGTGTTATTCGGACACATTACTCAAATAGCACAGAACACATAGTAGATTAGTCTGATATCTTTATTTAAAGTATTGTGTACTGCTACTGGTGCAGGGTTACCAAGGGATTACCCCAACCATGAATCCTTTTCATTGCCTGGTTACCTAAAAAGTCTATAAAGGATCTAAACTAAATCCAGCCATGCAGGACAGCACTAAAAACAGCTGAGTGCTTCACTTACATGTCAATTTTTCTAATCTCATGATCAAATGCCTGTTTCTCTTTCTTTTAGGGCTCTTACACACAGTTCCAGGAAAACTTAGATAAAGTATTTTTCAGTTTTTTCTGGAGGAAAATCTAGTCTTAAATAAATTTTACTGCATCTGTAGATTATCACAGAGTGCCACGGCGAGAATCTGCACGGCAAAAATGGCAAAACAGAGAGCAGCTATGGCAGAGGACTGGCTTCTGCTGCAGATCTGACTGAGAGTACTCATTACTTTAAGTGCAGCATGGGTGTGGCTGTTTCTATATATCTCTGACA